AWKMAGGTTTAGACAAAAGAAGTTGAGGAATCGGGATAAAATCGCATGCGCAGTGGAATCGATTCTTAAACTATGAAAAGGCTTATAAGACTTCTTGTTCAAATTTCATCCATATTAATGCATATTCTCAAGTATTGCCATGAAACAAAGAAATGATTCTTAGGGGAATACTCCAGTTTGGAGTTCCCTACTGCTCAGGGTAAGCCTGTATTTTGGTGTAGAATATTCATGTGTTGTTGATAAGCTCTGTGGAAATATTTGAATTGGTATTTAAGTTGAGCATGCTTTATTTTAGCACTGAAAGGAGGATAGATCTGAGTAAATGAATCTGTAATTAAGGGACACAGTGGGTATTCTATGAATTTGAAAAAGGTCCAATAGGTCAAATAGCTCCAATAGGGTTCATGCTACTTTCTCGTTACAAAATTCAAGGACTTTTTAAGCACTTTTCGAGCACAAAAATTTGATTTTCAAGGACAAAGTTTTTTGTATTAGAATGTGGTTTTAAACATTGCTTCATTGTTAAAGCACAGCTAATTCAGCCAGGACCACAAGCTTAGATAAAAAATGAGCATGTCACGCAACCAACCACTAAACAAGCAACCAGAAACTCTTCAATSAATTTTAATCATTATTTATTTTAAAAGGTAAGTTTGAAATAACATTAAGTTTGTACTAAATTCGAGGAGTATTCCAGGAGTTTTGGCGTTTTCCCCTATTTTCAAGGGCTTTTCAAGTGCCCTTGATAATGTGTAGCATAGTTAATTGACTAATTAACTATGTGTGTAGTCAATTAAAGGATATATTCCTTACCTGTTCTCCATGGGCAATTTTTTCAGGATGTAATGTTTTGAGTGCAACAGGAGTCTAAAAATATGGAAAGAAATCAGTACATCACTTTAGTTCAACCTGCATTTATTTTTTTTGAATGTGAATCTAAGCTTTAGGAAATCTATTTTTCCAGTCAACACTGGTGCTGTGTGAGCAAGGCCCATGTTCTTAAAAACTCCATCTCAAAATCACAGGGCCAGGGTTGCTTCAGCTCTCTCCTACCCTCTTGCCAAGGCCTGTGTCTGTGGCACATTTTCATAGACTGATATATTATATTTATTTTTTATTTAGAGGCTTTCATCACACTTGACTTACAAAAAATAAATAAATACAAAAGCAAACAAGTGTGATGAAGGGCAAGCAAATGGACTCGAGGTCCTGGCGAGGCGCATCCCTACGCACTTATACACTTACAATAACATAATAATTACCAGACTAGACGACAGTTTAACTCCTCTTTTTATCTTTTTCTGGATGCAATTATTCATTAAGTCATGATGTCAGCATTGGAGCACGGTTATTTGCTTTGACTTATAAAAAAATTTAAGCAAACCTTTTTTCCTTTGGGATCTTTCCAAACTCCTCTGAGAACAGATCCAAATTCCCCTTGTCCTAACTCAGAACCAAGCTCAAGGTCTTCCCTGTTGATTAGGGTGTGTTGTGTCGGCATTGGTGACTTGTCTTCAGATGCTGGTAAGAAAAAATAAAGATTATGAGATGCACAACTCATTATTGATAAATGCCCTAAATAGGTTTAAGAAAATGAGGATTGATTAATAGTATTGATTAGATATCAGAATTGTAGACATTACCATTATTTTTATTGCTGTGAGCAGATAATAACTCAAACATGTGTCACTAGTGTCTATAAAACTCTAGTATGACAGTAATGAAAAATAATAATGATGATGATAATGATGATTACRTGATGATGATGACAAAGACGAAGATATTGACGATGATGACAACAATGATGATAAAACTGTGTTTACATCAGAAAAGAGAGACACGCTCACTCAAAGTTGCTAAACAAAATTCACAAAAGCCATATAAAACGATGCTTATGTCTCTGTACTGTGATGTGTAAACACCATGGGAGCTGCAAAGCACTCTAAAAGCAAAAGTAACACTCGGCTATGCCTCATGTTCCTAAGCTTGTTTCTTTCATGCTCTACAGCTCCAAGCATGTTTTTATCACAGTACAGAGACATGCAAGCATATTTTATATTCCTTACTTAAAAATTAAATTAATTGACTAATATCAATTTAATTAAAAAACTCATTAATAATTCATGAAGGAAACACAATAGAAATCATGACCGTGAAGGAGGTTTTATATCTCATATAAATTCGTCTCCATTTGCATAAACTTTAACTTGGATTTTCTCTATCAAACTTGGTTCATTTCGTAAAGAATTCTGTACAATATGAGAACATGCATCATGAGTTTTTTAAGCCATTTAATAAACTCGCAGATCGTGTTTTATCGGGTCTAAATCCACTCGGTTGCACCTCGTGTTTTATACCCGATAAAATACTCCTGCTCGTTTATTAAACAGTACATAAAAATTGATATTTAACAATATTTAATAAAGAAATCACCTGTAGAGTCTGGAGGTGGTTGAGGTTGACTCCCCGGTGGCAGACGGGGAGGGAATCGTCTATCAGATGTTACTGGTGGTCTGGGCAGTGGGTTTGACAGTGGAGGTATAGGTAGTGGTAGAACATCTTGAGGGGGTTGGGGATATCCTTGACTGGAGGACCGGCCAAGCCGAGATTTGGACTCAGTAACATTTTGTCGAGATGGCATACTATCAATTACATTTTCCTGAAAAACAAAATGTAAAAGAAAGATAAGGTGATAACAAATCAAAAATCGAAAAACAATATTTATTATGACTGACAAAGTGGAAAATCTGAAAAGATGGTGACTGATATTACAATAACTAAAAGGGCTTGAAATACGGAAAATTGTCTCCTGCCATTTTTAATTTTATTCTTTATAGTACACTCAACAAAATAACTCGACTCTGATTGGTCGAGAGGAGTACAATTATAGCGTTAATTGTACTCCGTAGGAGTACCGAATTAAGTCGCTATGGCAACACGGCCAAAACAATGTCAAAACAATTATTTTCTATCATTTTGTACTTAAAAAACATAAATAAAATCTTAAAGCCATAAGAACTAATCTTTTTTATGCATTTCAGTTGCGTGATGGACTGAATAGACAAAGATGAACGGCGTCGCTTTGCATTTTTTACTGAAATTTTGTTGAGTGAACTATAAACAAAAAATCGCACGATCTTCTCGTACAATTTGGAATTAATAGACACTCGTAATGTTTTGAAAGTTCTTTAATTGCACTTGCCTAAAGGCTCATGCAATTACAAGAACTTTCAAAACATTACTCATGTCTATTAATTTCCAAATTGTACTCGAGATTGCGCGATTTCCTATACAAATATTTTTACCCCTTGGGAATTCCATGCAGGTGGTAGGGATACTTTCTGGAGACCTTTTCTGGAACTACAAAATATACCTTCCCCAGGCTCCTCCATACATATTTGGAATTCCAATCCCCCTCTGTGGGGGAGGTGGATGTTTTTTTTCTGGAACTACACAATATGCCCTCTTCAGATCCCTCCTTACCCACTGGAAATAACTCTTCTCTCTAATGAGGGATGGATAATGATTGACCTGCCATTTAAAGCCAATTCCTTTTTCTCTCTAGAAAAAAAAAGTAGGGAAGGGGGTGGGGGGTGGGGGGGTGGGTAAAACTGGATTTGAAGGAGCTTTTTTTTTGGTTAAGTTTCCATACAGGAAATGAAAAATGACCCACCCCTAATGTACATTTTCATATACAGCCCATCCCTTTTCAGAAGTTCAAAATAATATTGTGTGACCACAACCTGTTTTTATTCCCACTCATTACTGTACGACCAGTCCCTTAGAAGTTCAAATTTTTTCGATACAATTTATAGACCATGTTCTCACCACTGAGCTACTTCTTTGTAGTGGAGGTCTTAAGGCTAATGATACTGGTGGCTTTCCATCTGGGGGGATAGAGAACTGCAATAACACAGGCAGCCCATCAGCATATTTACTGTAGTGGTCGATCACATGTGGTAGTGTTTCAAATAATGGACCATCATCGATGTAAAACCATCGATCAGACTGCAAATACAACACAACACAGACAGATTTTTAAATAAAGGACTTAAATATACTGATTCTACTTGCTAGAACATTATACTAAAATCTTTTCCTCTGGAATGGACTTTTCCCCCATTGTACTCGCATGGATCGCGTAAATAAAAGAGACTTAATGTGATTCTCAATTTTCAGACATTTCAACGGCTTGCTGTGAAATTAATTTCTTTGCTGCTGTCAGTCAAATAAATCATTTGGAACCTTTTTATGAGTTTGACTGGTGGCAGTGAAAAAACAAATTCCAACAGGCGACTAGCAACTACCAAGATTGCATAATTTTGTACATTGCAGTAAGGCAGATTGCATAATATTGCACATTGCAGTAAGGCAGATTGCATAATTTTGTACAGTGCAGTAAGGCAGATTGCATAATATCGCACATTGCAGTAAGGCTTCATACTTACCCTACTTTTGATCTGATAATGATATACTAGTTTACTTAATACAAGGGACAATACATAATATCCATGATCTCTGGTGCTTAGTCTGATTATAAACTGGCCATCCTTCATTCCCCACTTTTGAAAGAGATCCAAAGATCCCTGCAAAAGTATTCAACATATTATCAATTAAAAATCAATTTCTTTCAAGCTTATTTAGAGATGTCTTTAATCAGTAATGCGTGTGAAGTACAGTAGGATAAAGATAGTAGCTGATAAGTCAATCACAGGCCAAATAAGAAGATATAACTAGCTAAAAACTAGTGTGATCTGCGTCGGTGTTTCTAATGAAACAGTAATGATAAAAAGGTAAATTATACACCGTGAAAAGATAAAAAAACTTACTGACGTTTCGGACACTAGTCCTTGGTCGGAGTAAAAGAGGGCCAAATCAGTTTTTCCTTGAGCATACCCTGTTTCTGGCTCAGTGTTACTGGTCAAAAAGACCAGAAAGACAAAGATTTGACCAAATAATTTCCAATTCTAAATGTCAGATAACCAGCCATTCAGTTGTTCACCGGGCTGCCTAAGACAACCCTGTAACAACATCCAGTCTGATCAAAGTCAGTGAAATAAGACTTCCAGATAGAGGTTTTGCATCATCACATGCCCCACGACCATAATACAACTTGGGCTGCCTGTAGTTAAATGACAGAACAATAAAATCTCTTTGCTCTTTGGAATTAAATTCTTTGTTATATAAAACGATTGTATTGTTCCTGCCATCTAAATATGGCCGCCCTCAGGTGACGATGCAAAATCTCTAAAGCCCTGTTTACACTAGTGATTTTTGTGGCGATTTTCGCTGTGATTTTTGCTGTGATTTTTGTGGCAATTTTTTGGAAATATGAAATCTTTTGTCTCATCCTTCAAAAGAGACATTCGTCTAGGAAAATCTTGGTATCCTGAAATAAACTTTACAAGTAAATTCTTTACCATTATTTATTATGGGCAAAATCACAAAAAAATCACTGCAAAAATCACTAGTGTAAACGGGGCTTAATGAATTGAAGTTTAGTGTTTTGGGTTTCGGGAAGAGAGAAACGCCTGAGAACCTGGAAAGAAACCTCAAATCAAGGAAGAGTGCCAACAAACTCCACTATCAGAAATATGAAATATGAATTTACCTTCCTGTCAAGGTGTTCATGTAGCCACAAACAAGCACTAGTTTTAGGAGGTGGTAATGGATAATTATCTATCATGTCGGCAATCTGTACATAACCATGTCTCAATGCCAGGTCCCGAGGAGTATCTCCTTCTGCGGTTCTTGGGTGAAGAGGGGCTCCTAGTTCAATTAGTGTTTGACAACAGTCTGTGTAACCTCTGGATGCAGCCTCATGAAGTGCAACACATCCTGTGTTCGTACACCTATCTTGGATATTTGCTCTTCCTTGTTGAACAAGAATTTTACATGTTGATGGGTGATTTGCGATACATGCACACTTAACAAGAAATGAAAAAGAAGACAAAAAAAAAAGTAAGTAAATTACCAATTTAAACTCCATAATAACCATCCAGTCAATACGATCGCCTGACAAAGACTAGCAATTTGTACTACAAATGACCCTCAATCATGAGATAAATGAATAAGTATCATTTATAGCTCTAATAATGTTTTACGACAAGCACTGAATCCCAGGAGCAGTAAGACTGCTAGCCATTTTTGGTTAAAGGGACATGCTTTACCTACTATTCTGTTCAAATTTATTCAATGTATTTAATTTTTTATTTTTATTATTTTATTATTAAATATTTTTCCACTTTGGAATCGAGTGGTCGAAAACAAACTATGGAAAATCAAATTAAAAATGGGGGAGAGGTGAGGGGAAAAGAGAATAGCTTCGTAAGGCAGTAACATTCCAAAAATGGTCAAAAGAAGGATTCATCGCACACAAGAATGTTAATTTATATCTATAGATATTTTTCAAATTCCCACTAGGAAAGTAGAATACAGAAATCCCTGTAATACCCCAGGATGCTTTGATGGGTAAATTTGAAAAACTTGATCAAAGAGTGATATGTACAAGGTTAAATGTTGAAGGTCAGCTCTTGTGAAGGTCTTTAAACTGTGATTATTTATTGATCGTATTATGATCGAATTTCTTTTGTTTTACGTCATTCCAATGACTCACTCATGCAAGACTAAATAGTGCAATCCACTTTCAAAGGTATGTCAACAAAAGGAAAGCCAACAACAAGAAAACCATTTTATGTTATCTTATGACAAGTGAGAACAAAAAATCCTGTAGAATTCGATCCTCTGAAGTTCATCCTAAAAACAACAAAGGTCAATCTTTCGTTCAAAAATTTATTTGGCACTTCCTTGAGAGTTCGAACATGTTGAGACAGATACCGTGTAGAGCATATTAGAGGCTGGCTCACGATCACACCCCAAATAAACTATTAAGTTATACTTTGGATGCTTCTCATTAGACTTAGAGGAAGGCCTATACTTACCATTAATACAGTATGACCATTATTATCTCGACATCTTGGATCAGCATTACATTGTAATAATAAAAATACTATTTCATCATCACCTACGAGCGCCGCTAGGTGTAGAGGTGTCCTTCCATTTTCATTTCGAGCATTCACATCCAGAGGGTTTTCTCTCAAAAGTCTACGTACTAAAACTTCATTTCTGTCCATGCAAGCTTGGTGTAAACGGGTCTGAATTCCATGTTTTCTTGCCGAGGCTGGGGGAGGGCTGCCAGCGCAATTTTGGACTAAACGTATGGGCAAGCCGTCCGCATTTTCTCTGTAATATTCTATCAATGAATCTAAACCATGGAAAACTGGACCGTCGTCAATCGAGAAATAAATATCTCCTCTGCATTGAATCTGGAAGTGCAATGCTTGATTGCAATTCCAAAGCGAAAGTACGTAGTCTCCCGGTACTGTATGGCTTTTTCGTACGAGAAATAAACCTTCTCTTTTCCCGTGTTTTATGAGAGTATTTAAAGCTTCTTCACGAGAGAGAGAGCCATGATACCACGACGCATCGTCCCGGATATTCATCTCAAAAGCTCCTGACTTCGAAGGGATGTGCTACATCTGTCCTCGAGTGCAAAGCGAACCCGGAACTGATAAGCTTTACTCTCAAAAGAGATGCAAAATCAACTTTCTGAACTGGAAGAGGTCGTTATGCACAATTTGATCTTCTGTCATCTGATGCCCTCTTTTTTACCTCGTTCCCAGTCGAGGGTAAATCACTAAAATAACACCAGAAATATGTACTAAAATAGCAAAAAGGCTCGTAAGGAAGCAGTTACCGCAGCTGAAGCTATAAAATACCTTCAGTACAGCTTTCAAAATTTTGTCTTGCTTTTGGAAAAGTGAATAAAACAACCTGAAAGAATTCAATATTTTTAACTGGGTTAACCGAGTAGGACTGAGTACTACTAATGTGAGCCCGCGGGTTAAGTGATCAGCTGTTTTGTGCTCAAGAGCATGCGTGATTTGGCTGGTAATGTTGTTATGGTAACGTGTATCAAGTGGAAGCAAAATATTCGCATTTCTGTCAAAAATCTCTGAAAAAGTCACCGATTTTCTCCTTTAAGACAATAAATAACGTAAATATGACTTCAAAACAGCCTTCACATAAAACAATAGTGCCGGGAAATCGAAGCCAGGAGGAGATATTCGAAGAAGAAGCTCACCAGATCGTAGACGAAGCCATCGACAATGCTATGAAAAGGTTGAGAGTGAACGTAGGAATCGCTGAACAGAAAGACGAATCTCCTGAAGGACAAGCAAACCAGGAAGAAGAAAAGGGTACTGTTGATCCTGAAACAGGGGCATTTATACCTAATATCAATTGGATGAGTGCAGACAATTTTACTGTAACTGGTGGACTTGAAAAAGTTGAAGAATTTATTAAGGTGAATATATATGAACTGATCCTACATGTAACCAAGTTGGGAAGAGATTTTAGAGTGTTTTAATCTTCATAATAGAAAAAAAGAAAGTTTGCTCTTTGAGTTTAGATTATGAGACATGAACACACTTACCACACACCCCCCCCCCCCACTTTACAATGGCACTATAACCCCCCCTCCCCTCACCTGCCATTGTAAGGGGGTTTAGGGTGCAAGACTGTAAGACCAGCTATCGTAACAAATCATGAAAGTAGCAAACTTTACAGTGTTAAGATTTGGCCAGTGCTAAACCAACAATCTTATCTTATTATGCCATAGCCAGCAYGGGAAAGGGGGTACACTAACTGAAATATCTGACAGCTCAAACAGTACCATGATGTGTTGTGGCTGGGATAAAACTCTTTGCTTTGGATTTGGCTTAAAAAATATTGTACATTGCCCCTCACTCCCCCCCCCCCCCTTAATTGCGACCTTGCTATTCATTATGCTACTGCAATGTAATGCAATATGTGTACAAATAAACATATGATACAATTTTGCTGCTATGTCCAAAATTGCACAATCAAGAGTACTGCAGATTGGAAACTGCAGTTGTCTGGGTGGCCTTGGTTGGTGTAGTCACACTGTAAATAGTCAGACACCTAATACTACTCAGCTATTGTTTTTTAGACATGGGAACGAGATAGCAGTTGGTTATATTGTATCGACTTCCTTAGAGAAGAGGACCATCCTTATAGTAAACGTTATCGGTATGCAGTAAAATGGAGTATTCCAACTAGAAGAAAACCAATCCCTAGGGCTACGGCATGCGTGTATTTTACTCTGGAAGTTAGTAAATTTAAGCCAAAGGTAAGTTGAAAAAAAACATTGCTTCTTTGAAAGCCAAGTATTCACAATCTCAAATAATAATAATTTAGTGGTTGCTATGGAAACAAGAAATTGACACACACACACACACACACACACAGTTCACAGCCAAGCACTCACAGTTTCAGATAATCAGTTAAGTGGTTGCCGTGGAAACAAGAAATTTAGCCAATCACCGCTAAGTACTTACAATCTCAGATAATCATAGTTTAGAATGAAATTGTTGTCTTGAATAACTGTGAAGAGAATGAAAAATATTCTGATATGGGTTGTCTTGAATAACTGTGAAGAGAATGAAAAATATTCTGATATGGGAAAACATTATGCACAAGCCTATTCAGTCTATTTCTATTATTGATGAAGTTAAAATATATATATTTTTTGATGCATCTTAATCCTATTTTTCAGTCATTTCCAATAGAAGTATATTATATTTTTGAAAGCCATCGACTTGTACACAGGTAATCCTACTATCTATTCTTGCCATTATTTTATGTGTAATGGAACAACCATTTTTTAAAGAAGGGGAGCAGTGGGAATCAACTGGTACGATATACCATACAATGAATCTGACCCCTCTCCATAGTTGCATTTTAAAAACTGTGGGGGAGCCCATTTGGTTCAGGGGTATTGGCAGGGTTTGCAGTGTGGCTGCATTGTCGTTGTGTTGTGGTTTGGCCATGTGCTTGTGGAAAGATTTCTTCGTTACGATGAGTTTTAATTGTAAAAGTGCCATGACTGGAATTCTTTTGTGTGCCACCTTGAGCTAAATGACCCCCCTCCCTCCCCATAACAGTATCTACTCGTACTTTAAACTTTTGACTGGCTTTAAAAAAATATTCTACAGACCTGGAAAATCAAGATTCAGAGAAAAATGGTTGAAGGATATCATAGAAAGCAAGATCAAAATGATGCAAACAGTTTACTTCTAAAAACATTTCTTACATTATTTTCCTATAATTATTATGACTGTATATTTTGTAAATAGTAAAATTATTTGTAAGTCACGGCTGCCCTTATAAATACTTAGGGGAAATTAATTAAGTCTTCGTTACAATAAATAAAAATCTTACAATTTAAGGTTTTTAACATGTATGTCATTTGTTTATCCTACTGTAAATATATCCTGCCTAAATTAATTGAAATATAATTAGTACATTTTATGAAAATAAATAAAAGTATTTTTTTGATATTGTTTGTTCACTGTGTATATTCCCATTCTATTTTATCCTATTCCATTCATTCAAAAATTCTGGAGTAAAAACTAGAAAATTATGAGAAAGTGTTTTGTATTATTGAGTTATCTACCCTCCYCACCCCCTGACAGTAGAGTCCCTGCTCCTTGAAAATCCCAAACCCCTCCCCATAGAAGGGATCATAAATCACCTAACCCCCTCCCCCATAAACCCAATAGCTTAGACTAAGGTTCATGTCCAACTTCACATGAGCCAAACCTAATGACATCGAAGAAGACCCCCTTTTCCATTGTTTCAATATTAGGTTTGACCTAAGCGTTAGAGTGGTAAAGTACTCAAATTTCTTCATTTCTCAAGAAAGTAAAAGAAGTAAGCTCTTTCCCCCTCATGGTCCAAGCCATAAAAACCTTACCCCCTCCCCCCAAGGAAATAAAGTTTTAAAAGTGTTTAATGCTCGTGTTGGAGTTTTCCCAAAAGAATATATATATACATATATATTAGGCCTTCTCAACCCTAAGAAATTCAAGCTTCCTTATCAATAGATAGAGTTATGGATATTTTCTATACAATTTTGAGGAACTAAACTACTACAACTGCGCCTTTACATCTATCACAGCAGTCAAATGTCACTCTAAAGCTGTTGGTCATTAGTCTACTCTGGTAGCTGTTCCCAATGTACTGCTTGCCCATTCTCTTCATCACTGTGCTTTCTTCTTGTTGTCCTTCTGTGTGGAGTTCAACATCAGATGAAAGAACCTGAAGAGTAGAACATAAGAATTAACTAGGGACATATTTAATGGGGAGGGAATTGAAAGGAAGGATGGAAAAAAGAAGAAAGAAAGGAAATGGATAGAAGAGAGAGGAAGGAAGGAGGGAAGGAAGAAAGGAAGGAATGAAGGAACAAGCAAAGGAATGAAGGAGAGAAGAAAGATAAGATGGATGGATGGAAGAAAGGAATGAATGGATGAAGGAACAAGTGAATGAATAAAAAAATTAAAGCAAGGAATATTAATCAAGGAATAAATGACAGAAGAAACGAAAAAAATAGAAGGAACTTACTTGGATAGCAAATTTCTCAGCAGGAGTAGGCTCTACAGTTTGCTTCTCTGCTTCCTCTGTTAATGAAAGTGCTTCAGCTGGGATTGATGAACTGCTGAACAAATCCTGTACCTGTACTGCTAAATCATGAACCAGACAACTAGTTATTGACGCCAGCTCCAGAACACTTTGTTGATGTGTGCTGTGGGCTTCATCAAGTATTTCTGTACTTTTGTATGAGCTATTGCCACTTTTTATAAGATATCCAAGCGAATGGAGAAGCCTAAGAAGAGAAAAATTATTCAAGTGTTACAGAATAGGTTTTAAGAATGGTCAACTAGCAATTTCTTGGACAGATATGACATATGTAAGCTGGAAAATACACACTCTCTCTTTTTGGAATTTTGACTTTCAATGTTGATTTCTGACTAATGGTAAATGGAAGGGGATGGGAATGGGAATGGAAGGGAATGTGAGAAAGGTGGGGCTGGAAATGGGAATGAAGAAAAGAAAGAAAATTTAGTACAAAAGTGATGGGATTAAAAAGAGAATATCTTGTTTTATTTACCTTTTAGTTGTAACTAAATGTTTCTTTAGCTCTGCTCTTTCATTTAAAATTCTTTGTAAGGCATTTTGTGTCTGTTTGTATTTAGCATAAAGAGTTGTTCTCCAGCTTGTTAATTCATCTGACATCATCCTATAAAAAAMGGATTTCACTTCATGTTCAATCCTAACATAAGGCATGGCTCAAACCACTGTGAAAATGTTATGGTACAGGATTTGTTACAACCATGAAAAATAACCCTACTCCATCGCATTGTAGTTGATGTTGTTATGGCTACAATTACAAATAGATAAATAAATAATAAATAATAAATAATAAATAAAAGAAAAAGAAAGAAAAGAAAAGAAAAGAAAAGAAAAGGCCCACAAGGGAAACCTTGGAAAATCTATTCAATATCTAGGAAAGAGGTTTGCTGAATATTCTTTGACACTGAAATTAGTGGCCAAACTGGTAGAATGATAATAATTTCCACTATCTTCCTATTAAGCACCATCATCGATGTTTAGCTTACCTGCTGGCCATGAATTTAGTTCTCCACACATCACATTCTATGGCAAGCTTGTCTGATTCCTCTGCATATTCTTCTGATAGAGTCTTCCAGTGCCTTATCTCTACAGCACTCTGAGCATTTTTCATCAATATGCCCTCCAAGCTATTCCAAAGAAAAAAAAAAAAAAAAAAAAAATTAAAAGTAAGAATAAATCAATAGCCTGAGAAAACAGACAAACTTTCGCTCCCCCATCCCCTGTGAAAGGTACCGTCTGTTTTCTCAGGATGCCGAAAAAAACAATGAAAATAAGATAAGAAGTGAATGAATAATAAAAGAATGGATGATTGAAAGAATCCAAAATTTTACCTGTTATCTAAATCATCTCCAACTGCAGCAACCAATAGTTTTTTAATGTCAGAATTCACCTGTGCAAATAAAAGGAAGAAATACCATTAAACAAACTAAATGGGTTACCTGAGGTTTAATTACCACAGGAAGCCCAATTAAATAGGTGATCTGAACAAAACCAAAACTAGCATGAAATGTTTAGCAATTTGTAGATAATATCACCATGATTTTGGATATATATTTTAATGAACCTATCTGGGTTGAGTGGGCTTCTTGTGGTTTACTGACCACAGGTAACCCAATATAGGGAGAAATTTCACAACAATACAAAACTTGAAATGTAAATCTGTATTGATAGGATATCTTCACCTGTGTTTGAAGCCCCAGTTGTACACATAGTTTTGTCTTCTCCTCTACAAGTTTTGCATTTCTTTCTTCAAGATCCCTGATCACGCCCTGCATCTCAGTGTAGGAGAATTTGCTATCTCTATTATTGTCCATGTCTTCCCTGTATTCATCAGTGATAGTATTAAATGTTTCATTCTCTGGCATTGGATAATCAAGATCTGACAACATAAGCCCAATCTCCGAGCCATGATCATCTAGTTCTTTCTCTTGTTCCTTTAACATAGTTTTATTTACCGACAGAAATTCTTCTTCGTTCTCCTGCACAAGCATTGATATATCTGGTAGATCCTTCCTCCTTTGAATCTCTTGAAAGTGTTTATAATCATTTTCAATTTTATGAACTGTCTTTCTTGTATAGTCAGTTTCAGATTTTTGTCTATCTGACACTTCAGATATACTAGATAAAGTTTGTTCCTTTTGTTGTTCTTCTTGCCCAGTAACAAACATTTGAACTGATTCCTTTTTCYCTTTATGGGCCTTGTAAATATGATGAGATTGTTGGACATTCTTGGGGTGGTTTGTGCGTTCTGTTCCATTTCCACTGTGCTCCATGCCATCACCGCTTGATCTTGGTATTTTTCGGTAATCTAGAAAAATATTCATTTTCAATCAAATAACAACAGGGTCTCAATGTCTGGGAATAAAATATGTGTGAATAAATAACTTTTTATAGAGAAATCCAAATCAATATAAGGATATTAGTTTCTAATTTTGCTTACAAGTGAAAAATATATAATACTGTACCATTAAAAAAAMCCCAAGATTTTGTGTCTTACCAATGCCATGTTCATCTTTGGAATGACTTTTTCTTCCTAATTCTTCAGGTGTTCTGCCAGTGCAAGATGAGAAAATATCATTAATTTTTCTTCACGGCCCAAATTGTATATCACTGAGATACTGGGAGTAAAACAGCCAACCAACCTAACCAACTCTATTCATATGCAATGCAAAGTTGAGCAATCAAATCTAAGACCCCAGAGGTGAGAAGCAAGTGCAGGGGCGGCGGAAGCTGAAATATTTGGGGGGGGGGGGGCACAGAAATATTATATGTAACGCTTTGTGATAATGACCGCTGTTTTGTTTGATTGCAGATGCATGGCCGTAGAACTATGACTGAGAACTAATATTTTGTAGGGGGCCAGGCACCCTCCTAAATTTTCGTGGGGGGGGGGGGGCATACCCTAGCCCCCCTGGTTCCACTGCCCCTGGAGTGTACTACTGCTACACAGTTACCCTTGATTTCCCAATCTATAATAGTGTTGAGCCAGTACTTTGAAGTCATTTGTAACAAGAATAGTGTCTTGATGGACACCTTAAATGCCACCCCATTCCCCATTGCCCTCGCCCCAAACTCTCACCTTATCAAATTCTGGCTGTTCTTCAGTCAGCTGTTTTTACATAACACAATAAGTTTCCAAACTTACCTTGCAATAGCCATAGCTTGAGGTTCTGCCAGTATCGCTCCTGCCATCATTATACAGCACACACACCAACTTGTATCAGGTTAAATATGTCAATTTTAAGTATAGTATTTCACATTTATACACTCTTCAAACCATAAACAGTACAATTCCAAGTACAACAAAATGCCTTTTTGTTATATCGGGTTCATAATGAAGACCTTACAGACTTTCCCATAGTCTTTGAGACCTGAAAAGCAAACAAATATACCAGCTGAATAATGCTTGATGAAATGCTAAAGCTACAGTATTATTAAAGTACGCACCCTACAGCCAGAATATTAATTCACGAGGGGCCGTATCAAAGCTAGAAGCATAAATCACAGGACAATAGTCTATTAGGGCTGTCAATTACAGTTCGACACGACAAAAGACTCAAAATTATGATTCAGTTTTTGACTACGTGTCTCTAGTTTACGCAACTATTTCCATAAATTTACTTCCTCTATTCTACTGCTTCAACTTTTGTTCAAAATTCAGCTTTAAAAATAAAAATTCAAACATGGTTACATTGAAATATGCTCTAATCTTACCTTAAAACTAAATAAGACGCTGTCAATTCACATTATTATTAAGTTATAATAAAATAAAAATTGCTAAGCAATTTTATCCTCTTCTTCCGCCATTTTGAAAACGCAACTACCCAAAGTCCTTTAGTTATAAATTTGACTTACAAGGGATGGGTGGGGAGTGCTTTTTTCCGCTTTGAAGGAAAACTCCTACAAATTAGAAATTTAAAATGCGATATGTAAGGCTTCAGGGCTAAAGAATGTCTTGAAGACAGAGATAAGGTTATTAAGAGTGACAATTTTATAAAAGCTTTACCAGACGTCAAAAACGTTTGATATTCCAATCTTCAATAAAAATCAATTTTTTTTTGGTTTTAAAAACAAAACTGTTCATCTTATTTGATAAATTATTTTAGTGAATAAGAATTAATTTAAGGCAAATTGGAGCTGTCCTTCGTTAAGATATAGTGATGAATCAATTCTGAGGGGGGTGGGGAGGGTATTTGGCACAGTCAATGATTTGCTAAGCTCCTCCCCCACGATTAGTCATTTTGTTGTATATTTTCGCGCTTGTAGTTTGAATGATGGCGGAGAAAGACAGATGTGCTGAATTATTCCTCTTATAACACGCTGTAGTAATATCCGATCTTCAAGTGCGGCAATGCGTGTGAGACCTAAACCCATCGGGAATGGTTTTCGGAGAAAAACTTTAAAAGATTCAGAAGAATTCGATAAATGGAATCGTCCCAATGGAGAGTGCAAGACAGACGAGGGTTGCATTGATTTATACTCGCTGGATGAACATTTGACTCTACCCAGTTTAACTAACAGAACTGCTTCAATTTTATTATCTACGGTTTCTATCATATGTTACTGGAACTCATGTAATGGGGATTTCGTTTTTGATGATTCTGAAGCCATCGTAGGCAACAAAGATCTTCGACCAGACACCCCATTTTGGAAGCTCTTTCTGCATGACTTTTGGGGAGGCACACTTACGTCCAATGATTCTCACAAAAGCTATCGTCCATTAACAGTCCTCACCTATCGATGGAACTATTGGCTAGCTGGAGGATTGCATCCTTGGGGCTTTCATTTTGTTAATGTGATTTTACATGCCGTTGTTTCGTGTCTTTCTTTGCTGGTTTTTAACGAGGTGTTTAGCGAAAAACAAACCCAAGGAGGCAAAGTGTCGAAAACGGGTTTCCTCTGTGCCTTGTTATTCACAATCCATCCAATACACACTGAGAGTGTAAGTATTTCTTTTTCCTAAGGTCTTTTCCTGTATTTTCCCCCTTTCTTATCTCTCTTTTGTTTTTGAATTATTTTATTTCCAATTTAATTTGTCTTCGTTTTATTATTTCTTGTTGTGAATTTAAACGTCGAACATTTTATCCGTTCAAGTCGAAACGACCTGTAAGGAGAATACTTACTAATTAATTTATAAGCTTCATGACTATTTTCAGCGCTGTGGATAATTATTATGCTAAACAATAGAAAACGATTTGGATTATTTCCTGACTCTGAAACAAAAAGATAATTGTACAAAACTAATTGGGTGTTGAAAGACTTCAAATTCTGTGTGTGTCTTGCTTTCAAAGCTGGCCTAAAAGGTGGAACTTCTCACCTTTTTTGTATCTTTTTATAAAAGAATATGAAATATTTAGTTCGATTAGTTAAGCATGAATGTTGGGAAGTAATAATGAAGAATAAAAAATCGGTTGAGAAGAATGTCTTTCTAGAGCTTACACTAGTGCATCCTTCAAAAAATCAAATAATTTTAAGAATATTGTTTAGTTTGGTAAAAGTTTATCCTTTCATAACTCGAAGATAGAAAGATTTGGGGCACAAAATAATCCTCATGCATAGTTTGATATTTTGTTACTAATTGGGGAAGAATGGCTTTATAAACCATAACACTATTACACTGTAATATTGCATGTTATGGTTTAGCCAATCTTCCCAATAACCAACTAACATCAAAATCAAAATCAAAACTTTTTCCTGACAGTTAATAAAACCAACACCTTATTTTATTATTGTGTATTAATGAAATGTCAAGAAAAGCTAGTTTTTGACAGGCATGTTGTCATGGGATTTGATTTTATCCTATTTAAAACCACGGCCGGTAGGTGGTGTTATGCCTTACCTCTGTGAATATGTTTATGAAAATCCCAGCATACTCGCTAACCACAAATTAGAGTAGGGCATGTCCGATATGTGAAATTTTTATCAGTGCATTTCATAGTCAAACAATATTTAATAACACGTTTTATATCTTAGAATAATCAGACTGGCTCTTTATCCCTTTCACTGATTCAATTCAAATATAAATAATGTGATTCCTCTTTAATTGCTTAATTCCAAGATAAGATAATAAAACATTTATGGAATTTATATTTTCAACCTCAAGAAAAAACCCAGCAAAGCATAGTTAATTACAGCTTCCCACAAGTGATATTTATTATTTATTTCTGCGCTGTTTTATTTTCAAGKGATTTTATAGATAGAATGTCAAACTAACCTCAAACTATTAAAAATGGTCTGGTACAATCCTAAGAGCTTTTGAGTTAATGATTCGACTGGCTTGTGGTCGGCATTTTAACCCCATAAAAATCAACCACTATACATAAATTATATATTTAAATTCATTCATATTTCAAGAATAATTTGGTTATCTTACTTCAAATCCAAGTAAAGAACAGATTATACTCTTGTGTTCATGAAAAGATATTTCAATTTTTTCTGGGGGAAAATTTTCTCACTATAATTCAATTAAAATTTCAAAGATAAATAAAAAAATTCTTTTGGAATGTTCCTTTTCTTTTGGGAATCTTCTATTTGAATAAATCCAAGGAATTCTCCTAACATGAATTTTTATATTAATGCATACAGAATCCTTTAAATTATAAATATACCAAAAGGAGACAGTAAAGTATTATTAAATCCACTAACATTTTAAAATAGACATTAAGATATTCGTAAATGGTAAATACTTCAGAAACCTCAARATTTGCTGTTTACAATTATTTTTACTAACTGGCAAAAATTTTTTTTGGATTTCAATTTCTTAGGTTGCAGGTGTGGTAGGGCGTGCCGATTTGCTGAGTGGGCTGTGCTTCTTTCTCTCATTTTTGACTTATGCAAAATGTTGCAAGTTACATTGTAAGTATCCACCTAAACTTTAAAAGGAGAGAAAAATCTTCCCACCCCTCCCCTCTAAATACACTCATATCCAAAGTGTTTAGACCTTTTTACCTTAGGCACAGTGCTCTCCCATTTCAGACCATGTGTGATAAGGTGTTTAATGATTCTCTCCTGTGCTTCAAGGGTTTCCAATACCACTGCTAAATCCTAATTAATTATTATTCATCCATCCATCCATCCATCCATCCATCCACCCATCCATCCATCCGTCCACCCGTCCATCCATCCATCC